AGAGTCGTTCTTCAAAGGTCTCCCATGAGATCAACCGAGTAAATTCATCGCAAAATTATTCGTGGACAACTCTTACAGGGAGGTTTCCTTCCCCACAAGCTGATACAGGACCACAACATGCATATTCTAATGATGTTACTGAACCGGATATCTTTGATGATGATGATGAAGTCTTGGTTCAAGAAGCTTCAGTTACCGATGATTTCAACGAGGCTGATTACAATGCAATAGACCCAATGGAGATCAGAACATATCCTGAATTTTCAGCTGTTGCAAAGACGGATTCTCATGATCACTTTGCTGTATTAATTAATCTCAAAGCTCCTCCTCGTTCAGGGAGACCCGAAAACAATACTGAATCTTCATCACCATCATCATCATATTTATCATTACTAAATTCTCGTGCTCCAATTGACCTAGTCACGGTTCTTGATGTGAGTGGTAGCATGTCAGGCACAAAGATTGCACTACTAAAACGAGCTATGGGGTTTGTCATAGAGAATCTGAGTTCATCAGACAGGCTTTCTGTGATTGCCTTCTCTTCCACAGCCTGGCGCGTCTTTCCTCTTCGGAGGATGACCGATGCTGGAAAACTTGAGGCACTGCAGGCAGTTAATTCATTGGTTGCGGGTGGTGCGACAAGCATTGAAGAAGGCTTGATGAAAGGTGCCAAAGTGTTTGCTGACAGCAGGTGGAAGAACCCAGTTGGCAGTATCATACTGCTCTCCGACGGACAGGATTCGTCCATAAACAGTAGCAGGCTCAATCTTAGAGCCGATTACGGGTCTCTTGTCCCAGACTCCCTGCATCGGAGCAGTTTTATGGCCCAGCACATACCCGTGCATGCATTTGGCTTTGGTGTTGACCATGATGCTACAGCAATGCACACAATCTCTGAGATCTCTGGGGGTACTTTTTCCTTCATTGAAGATGAGGATGTGATTCAGGATGCATTTGCACAGTGTATTGGGGGACTATTGAGTGTGGTGGTTCAGGAATTACAGGTAGAAGTTCAGTGTGTTCACCCCCGTCTCCAATTTGGTGCAGTAAAAGCAGGAAGTTACCAATTTAGCCTGAGTGACAGTGCAAAAAAGGCAACTATCAAGGTAGGAGAACTGTATGCTGAAGAAGAAAGAGACTTTTTGGTGACAGTGAATGTTCCGGTGGAGAAGTCCAGTGATGAGATGCCTCTGGTGGTAGTTAGAGGTGTTTATAGGGATCCCATCACAAAAGCAATGAAGGGTATGGGAGTAAAAAATGAAGTAAAGATTGAGAGACCTGATGTAGCTAGAGATGTAGTTGAATCGATGGAAGTAGACAGGCAGAAAAACAGGCTTCGAGCTGCTAAGTCAATGGCTGAGGCTAGAGTTAGTGCAGAATGTGGGGATTTGACTGCTGCTGTTGAAGTTCTACAGAGATGTCAGGAGGTGATGTCTGGCACCATCTCTGCCAAAGCTGGTGATGAACTATGTATTGCTCTTTCTGCTGAACTAAAGGAAATGCAGGGAAGGATGGCAAACCAACGTGTGTATGAGTATTCTGGAAGGGCTTATGTTCTCTCAGGATTGAGTGCTCATTCAGGGCAAAGGGCAACTGCACGAGGAGACTCTACAGACAACAGCAGTTCTCTCAATGCATACCGAACCCCTTCCATGGTAGACATGGTTTCACGTTCTCAAAATTTGAGGCCTGAACCTGTAAATCTCCTCAAACCTGCTAGATCCTCTTCTAGCAGGCACCAGGGCAGAAAATAGTAATGCGTATTTCAATTTTCTACTCAGAAACCTTAATACCTGTGGAGATCTTTTAAGTTTCTTCTTTTACCTTTTTTCTTTCCCTTATGGTTTTGGTAAGGTGGCTGGAATTATGGAAAGTGGAATGGAATGAGTTCCTTTTATGCACAATTTTTTGCTTTTAGTTGAATTGTACATGTTTAGGAGAAGTGGGGGTATATATAGCAACGTAACAGTGGGGATAATTCGTGAGAATTTCTTCATGGAGTTACATATATGGTATACTTCTGATTGAATATACTTCTTATTCTTTTTTATGGTATTACTTCTCTAGCTTTTCCTTCTCTCGATGTATCAATGGTTTTACAGGCTTCAAAATTTGTTTATTACATGTCATTATGTAATATATAAATCCTTTTCACTCCTAGTTGACACCAAAAGATAAGTTCCTTCTTCCACCTTCATCGTATGACCATGAATTAATAATTGCATTTCAAGAAACAATTCACGGATAGAACTTAATATTACAATTTTCCTGATCTCTCAATTTTGGTAAGGATAATATGAATGTTTTGAAGGTTGAATGAATTATAAAACAGAAAGGGCAAAGTGAGCATTTTCTATTTAAAAAATGGGACGAATGAAAATGAATTTTTGATGTGTACTTAAAAAGGGGGTGAGAATAGTAGCCCAATATTTTTTTATTACCTTGATTGTACTGATGTGGACTTGTATTTTCACAAAGGAATGGAGAAGGGAGAGGAGAGGGGTGTTGCTCCCTCCACCACCCCAAGTGTTCCTTCATCTCTCAATTATTTTTTTTATTCCAAAAATATTTTACATTTTTTCACTATTTTTTTTTATTCCAAATATACCTTACACCTCCCCACTATATTTAACAATCTTTCTCTCTCTCCACATTAATAGATATATTTTTTTTCTTCAAATTACTTAATAAATGGTAAAATTTTGTTCCAAAATTCTAGAAAAATGTTTATATATGTGTTTTTTTTTACATTTAATATTTATAAAAGAAAAGTTATTTGTTAAAGATTTGAAATTTATTTAGTTCTTTCGTCATTATAAAGTTAGTATATAATAATAATAATATATTATTTACTATTAATATTATTATGTTTATTATTTTGTATTTGCATCTAACTTTTAAGTTTATAAAAGTATTTTTGGAATAAAAGAAAATAATAGGGAGGTGTAGAGTATTTTTAGAATAAAAGAAAATAATGAAGAAGTACAGAAACACTTGGAGTGGTGGAGAGAGTAACACCTTAATATTATAAAGTGTATAATCTAAAATATAATTTGTAATCCAAGTTTTATTTTAAATTTGTATTACAGATTATACAATTCAAATTATAAATTTATATTATAAACTATATAATTTAGAATGTAATTTACATTTTTTTTCTAAATTTGTATTATAAATTATATAATCTAAATTTAAATTACAGATTATGTAATTTAAAATATAAATTTACAGATTGTATAATCTAAAAATATAAATTTGCTAATTAAATTTATATTGCATGTATAAAATTAATATTTTGAATTCCAAATGTAATCTAAATATCTACATATTTTACAATCCAAAGCTATAATTAAAGTAAATAAAAAATCTTAAACTATCTTTTTCTCTATTAATTTCAACAAAGATATAATCGGAATTTTTGAAAATATGGAATAGAGAAGAAATTCTCCGCAATTAATCAGAAATGGGTCCCAAGCGACAGACAAGCAGATCGTTAGATCTATCAGCTTAATTTTAATTAAAATTTATTAGCCGTCATCTTTTTTCAGATTTTTTTACTGCTGATATAATCATGGTTGTTTTTAAATTAAAATTGGTTAAATATTTTTTAATACTAAATTTATCTTTTGTTAATGTCAAATAAGATTTTGTAATATTAATAAACATAATTGATTAATTTAATCCATTTTTGTCTTTACAATTGCCAAACAAAACTACAAAAGAGATTACTAACAAAAAAGGGGAAAATGTAATTTTTTTAATAATTATAATATTTTTCTTTAAATCAAATGCCTATACCTATATATTTTCTATTTTCTATTCTATATTTGTACTATCTTTCATTTTAATTAAATAACTTTACTTTGCATTTGTTTTTCGTTGTTTACTTTCTAAATTTTTGTCCTCACATCCGAACAAAGACTTGCTCTTTAATATCAACTCAACATTGGAGATAAGTTAAACTAAGGTTAAGTGTTAATTAAGGCTGAGTCGTAAAACGAAATAAATTTATTTATGTATTTACATGTTTCAACGATAAAATACATTAAAAATAGTTCTATCATATCATAATGTATATAATTTTATTAAAGTTCCTCCTCAAGAGCATTTGCAATGGAAATTTAGTTAGCTATATTACACCAGCTACCATTGTTTTTTATGTGTCGCATGTGATTTTTATATTACTTAAAATTGAAAATAATTACTTATATGTATTTGGTGATAATTTTCTATTCGAGCTGAAACATTTATGATTAAGCACATAGTTTAAATGAAAGGAATTCCTTTCATATATATGATTTTCCTATTCTCAGTTTTTCTCATGGAATAAACCAGTGAAGACAATTGACAAAGGCCTTAGATAATTAGTTACGTACACATTTTCACACATAATGTTACACCAATAAAAAGAAATGATGTAAACATAACGCAACGATGATGTCTGCTTGTTACCTTGTATGTTTTCGTGATTATTGACCTCGGAAATATGTTCAATAAGGAGCATATGGTTTCATTTTAGTTAAAATCAACATAATAGGAAGGCGTTAAAGGGTCCCTGTCGGTAAGCAAAAGGGTCGCTTTCCAAGAGGTGATACTTTTCCAAGACTCACTTTGTTTCCATTTTTTGTGTTGATCAAGTTCTAAAAGGATAACCCCATTGGAGCAGATCTCTATTTGGTGCCATTTTCTGTTCAGCCATTCTCTTTCTTAGTTCTCAATATCATTTATAATCTGTGTATACTGCATTGATAGCTGAGGAGTTAATAATTTATTTTTTCCATTCATGGAAGTGAAAGTGAACAAGAAGTTAGATGATGGAAACATTAAACATGCAGCTTGGAAAAAGACGAATTCCCTACCATTTTCTGTAAAAATTAACCTGTTTTTCTTTACTTCAGCCCATTATTGCAATGTCTGTTATCAAATGAAATTTTATTATGACCCCACTATTAACGGAGTGGACTAAGTTTTATCGAAGCCTTTGAGAGTGATGATGATAATCATAATTGCACTCCTACAGTGAAAGTAGCACTCGCTCATCACAGACTTTGGTAGATGCACCAGCCTTGCTTTGACTTTCTTACTTCAACATGATTTTTCTAAAACAACTTCAAACTTTTACCTTTTGTCACTACACTTTCAGAGGAAACTCCTGATACTCAACTAGAGTTTGCTGGTGGAGTTAACAAGGACGTGTTGCTATTTTGGTAATTGTCAAGTTCATTCTGTTTTCAAGAGTTAAATACCATTTTGGAGGCTAATTCTCAAACCATCCGCAAAGGGAGTTTCTTGCAGTTCACTGTCTATATTTATTGCATGACGTAACAGTCCATCGGTTGATTTTGCATGAGTCCTTCTTCAATTGAACGTGTTATGTTTAGACATATATCAGTTGTGGATTGATATTCAAATATGGATTCGCGTTATCCTGATCTTCAATCTATTGTAACTTTACTATGCTACTTAGTTAATCTAGTCCCAACTAGGGTCACTTCATCTTTGATTTTTCAGTACTTGGGTGGATAGGATAACCTCAACTGCGAGGCGTTTTGTCGGCTAAACGTTCATTTCTTCTTTCTTACTACTTTTTTACTTATTTCATACACGGCCCACAAATATTGAGATCAGATAGGAAGTTCACATCTTTTTATTCAATATGAAATGATAGTCATTCATTTTTTGCTGTAGCATATGGGTATATGAGACTCAAAGGCTTTTGCTACTGTTGCTTGTTTCTGAATTGCCTGCCTTTTTTTATCTGATTTGATCACAGATGATGATTGGAACCAGCAAGAGAATTTGAAGATTAAGTTTATCTCCTTTAACAGGTTCACCCATTGATGCTATTTCATACACACACAATGGAAAAGTAAGTTCCAGTACAAATATTCAAGATCATGATAAGTTCTTGATGGTGAAGGACTGGTATATGCTTTTGAAGTTACTTAGATACACTTTTTGTATTGTTTGAGGGTGCGGGTCGGTGTCAAATTTTGAACCCTTAACATATACAAATGTTATGGATTGGTGGTATTTAGTCCTAAGATTGAAACTAACATAGCTCTTGTGTATTCATACCTTGAAATTAGAAACATTAATGGGGTAAATCTCTCTCTCTCTCAATCTATATATCTATCTATCCATGTCAACATGTAGCATCATGGTGCTTCAGCTTCTCATGAATTTATCTTGGTTCATACTGCACTCTTAGCATGAGGGAAATTCTACCTCAAGATTTGTGTAAAAGGTTCCTCTCCTTTTTTTGTATAGGTTGGAATTGATGAAGCCTCAATTAAATGTTGCTGTGGCTCTAGTTATTAGCTTGCTCTGTATTCAGCATTCATTTTGTGGTCAGTATCACCTTTTATGATACATTTAGTATTTGACCTTCCAGCTGTCACCATTAGTATTCCATGTGTACTTATAATTAGGTGCTTGCCTGCTTAAATAAGATTTAAGCTTTTCAATTTTCCTCTCAGTCATAGATTGAATCCAAGTGAACCGTTATACATTCTGTTTTTCTCTTTTTCACCCTTTGTTTTTTACCTACAGATGAACTTTCTGATACTGGACCAAACAAGTGGAAATGTAGATGCTCTTTATTACAAGGGAACCATACATACTCTCGTGCTAATTGTTCCAAATCATGTGATTGTCATTCAGGTATAACGATTATTTTTCATTGGCACAACGAACACAAGCTTTTTGAACCCCTCTCCCCTTCTATGGTCTTCTATCTTCTTCAGTTGAGTATTTAGCTTGAGATATTAGGTAGTGAAATGTATTTTTGCAGAAGATTCCTGCTAACTAGGATTCACTTAAATTCATAAAGGTTTCCTTTACTAATAAATTTCAGCTTGTATTTATGGAAGACAGAATTCAAGGAAATTGCCAAAGACAAATTGAGTAAAACGTGCAAGTAGGTAAAGGCCAAGCCTCATTCTCCCAATGTAATGTTGTAAAATATAAAGCTTAAAACATGGGTACTCTAACATGGAAAGAACTCTACTCAACCATTGTTGATGATATGCTTAAGGAATGGTCTACGTCTTCACCACTTGAGTGAAATAGGGAGTTGGTAGTTATTAGTTTATATGCTTATGTTATGACAAGAGTGCAGTATAGACTCACTATTTTAGGAGAAAGAGGGAGACTTTGTGGTCACATTCTGAATATTGTTTGGTAACTGCTTTACCTTCCATGTAGATGCTGAACAGAGTGCATCCATATGGACATGCTTATGTGATTCGAATGGGTTTCCTGAAGTGTCAGCAGATGGCCATAACCTTAACTGTTTTGATGCCTGCAATTGCACATGGGGTATTTTATTTTCTCCCTCTTTGTCTTCCATCTCTTTTGTTTACTGATTTTTGGTTTCTATAACTGAGTTTGATGGACTATGCTAAATCGGTTATTCTTATGCAAAGAACAAAAATGCATACCTCCATATGCAAAAATTAGAATTGGTTTATATTGTGGACTACTGTGGAAACTTCCAAAACCACAAGATTTTGAGATTGCTTTAAAGCCCTTTTCAACTATCAATTATGAAGATTTAAAACAGGGTTTCCATAGCGCACGAATTCTTACTTTGAAGAATGATTTTCTCTTCAGTGTTTCTTTGTTCTTATTGATGATGGTCTAACCTGTACATTGCACAAACTCAATGGCTTTTTCTCAGATCATTTGAGTGTTCTGCAGGATCTCTCAGGATGCCACTTGGTTCAAAGAAGCAAATTTCGAGCAAGATTGTAGTAGTTATTCTATCAGTATGTGCTACATGCACAACTATTGCATTTCTTGCCTCGGTTGTATGTCAGGTCTGCCGAAGGGAGAGATGTTCTATTCAATCACCAATGATCTCATCAGATAAAGAAACAAGTTACAGTAGCACCACCAACTTATTCAGTCATAAGACTTCTTCGCCTGTTAGTCATATTACAGGTAACCCAGTTTTGTGTTCACTGTTGTTGGAGTCTATATATCAGTTTAAATGTTATTTGTTTTACACTGTCCAATATTTTTTGCCATTATATTTTCGTTCGTAATTGTCCTCTTCTTTTTTAGGATGCTTTCAGAAGTCCTCTTTGTTGTTTGGTAGCCAAAGACAAACCTTTTATGGAAATATTATTCAATTTTCATTTGCTGAACTGGAAAATGCCACCGAAAACTTTTCAACTTCCAATCTAACTGGACTAGGTGGAAGCAGTTATGTATACCGTGGTCGGCTGAAAGATGGCAGTAATGTGGCAGTCAAGAGACTGAAAGATCAAAGAGGGCCTGAGGCAGACTCTGAATTTTTTACAGAGGTTGTGCCTAATTTTGCTTCTGTTTTCTATGATTGGTCTTTGTCACGTTAAATTACAGTGTCCCATAAAAAAAGGATGAGCCTAAAACAAGTTTTTTGGTTTGTTTAGATTGAACTATTGTCTAGACTTCATCATTGTCATCTGGTGCCATTAGTGGGATACTGCTCAGAACTAAAAGGAAAAAATGTTCAAAGGTTGCTAGTGTTTGAATACATGACTAATGGAAATTTGAGGGACCGCTTAGACGGAGTTTTTGGAAAGAAAATGGACTGGTCAACTCGAGTTAGAATTGCATTAGGAGCTGCAAGGGGCTTGGAGTATCTTCATGAAGCAGCTGCTCCTAGAATTCTGCACAGAGATGTCAAATCAACAAACATTCTTCTGGACAAAAATTGGCAAGCAAAAGTATGAGTCTTGGTTGTTCTCTATGGTACTTCTAACCTCTATCTAGCAAATGGGTAATTACTTGAGAAAAGACAATGGAATTTAAAAAGGGTAATAAGATACCGAAAGCAGATTCTAATTTTACTGGTTTTTCACATCTTTTGCCTGTCAAGTTTATTTTTCAAATCCATAGAACTACTTTTTCTGAAAAATTAGAGTAACTGAAGTGTAGGTGGAAGCTGCAACTTAAATGATCGCACCTTTTACAGTCCATTCAAATAATGAATTTGCAGATAACTGATCTCGGTATGGCTAAAAGCTTGAGAGCTGATGACCACCCCAGTCGTTCAGATTCTCCAGCAAGAATGCAGGGAACATTTGGTTATTTTGCACCTGAGTATGCAATTGTTGGGAGAGCCTCTCTTGAGTCTGATGTCTTCAGTTTTGGAGTGGTTCTTCTTGAGCTTATCAGTGGTCGGCAACCCATCCACAAATCTGCAGGCAAAGAACAAAGTCTTGTTATATGGGTATTGTAAATTAATGATTCCTTATTACAGTAACTTAAACTTGCTTTATTTGGAGGATTTTTCATGAGAAGGATGATCTTTGTAAAATGTCTCAGATATACTAACATGTAGTTTCATTTTCCATTTACAATCACCAACTTGGACGATTAAGTTTATTGATAATCACCATCTTCAGTTTGAACTTCTTGTATAGCGTGCTTAATCAATTCTATTTTAGGCAAGTCCTCGCTTAAAGGATAGCAGGCGAGTAATAACCGAGTTGGCTGATCCACAGTTGAAAGGAAACTTCCCAGAAGAAGAGCTGCATATAATGGCATACTTAGCTAAGGAGTGCTTGCTGTTGGATCCTGACACTCGGCCAACTATGACTGAAGTTGTTCAAATTCTTTCCAGTATCTCCCCGGACAGATCTAGAAGGAGAAGAAACATTCCAGTGAGATTTTTTCAGGTGCTATACAGTCCTCCGTTCTTAACTTAAGTGTTCTAGTTTGGACATGTTTCTTAATTTTCAGAACTTCTGTGTGATGTATATTTTATATTTTGCTTGTCTGATAGTTACACTTAAATCAAACATTGTAATAAGAATAAACAATATCCTGAGTTTTCTTTTGCTGGACATGTAAAGGAACCGGAGGACTTGGAGAATCAAAGGCAAGCTCCACCAAGTATATTTCCAACTTGTAATTTATTGCCGTTAGGTGTTGACCACAATCTTAATGTTGGCAATGAAGATAAAGATGCACATACAGTTTCAAGTGGGGATATGGAGAGTTTGATCCTCTTTAGTCCAAAGGGTGAGAACTGGCATGCATCAGAGGAGGAAATGGTAGATTTAACTGAGCCTCGTTTCGAATCATTTTTCATGACAAACCCCAATTTCTCTTGATGAAAGCATAGAGCAGAAGAAGTCTAATGCATTAATGTTGTGTACTATGTTACAACTCTTATACTACACTATACTGTGTATGGTTCAGTGGGATATCTAGGAGGATGCACTTTTCTTCAGAGTATGCTCATCTAATTTATGTATTTTTCACTTTCCTTTAAAGGGTCTTGTGCATAGTTTTATACATGACATAAAAGAATTTGATGGAGTGTTGTACAGAAAAGGGATATGTAATTCTGGTTGTACTTTATTTGAAGAAGAATTCGAATGTGATAGTTTTGTACAGTCATATAATTGTAATTGGCAATAAACATATTGACACCGACCTTTGAACTAATTGAATTGAACTTATTATGGCTCAGTTGACAACAAGCTTGGATCCCTAAGGGGACAGTGATTTTCAAGTGTGATAAAACTCTTGGGACCAAAAATTAGTTCATAGTTGGTTCAAATGAATGGAATTTTTACAGATGATTTAAGATCCCACCAAGAACCAAAAGACCTACAGTGGCTGAATTTCTTTTATATAAATGTAGTTGCCCTGTTGATTGACACATCATAAATTACATCAAATTTAGGTTTGTTAGGATGTCATATTTCAATAAGTCAATTCTTGGTAGAATTCAGAGATTTCTTCTTTGAGGGTTACATTCTTATGAGTTTTTTTATTATCATTTATTGTTTTGTAAAATTAAAATAATCTGTTTAGTAATAACGAGAAGATATATTGTACCTACGTATTAAATGTGAGCACCTTAGGTCTACAAAAGGAATTCTTAGGTTATATTTGTATTATATGAGTTACATTCACCTCCCATTTTTTCTAATGAGAACTTTTATATGCAAAGATGAAAGCTTACTTAAGAGGTGAAATAACCCAGGACACTGCGTACATTACTGCATTCTATGTCCTGAGTCAAATAAATCGGAATGGTCGCTTGTGAGCAACTTTTATAAATTAGGACTGGCTTGACAAAGGTAATGTGTTAGCTGAGGTAACATATGTGATTTTGAATGGTAGATGAGAGTGTGACTTGAGGAATGTATGGTTTGGATCTTGGATTAGTACATAAGTAACCCACATCCTTATTCATTGAACCGTAGAAGTAACCTTTGTATGCATAGTTTATGTGATGGATCCACCACCTCCTCTTCCAACCACACCGTTGCTAAGACCAGCTCCCAATGGAGGAGGATTCTTAGATACATGGTAAGGGACTTGAATTTCTCTTTGCTTAAGTTCTGCAACTGCATATTAATCATTAAACTAAACTATATGAATGTAACATGTGAAAGTGAAATTGACAGTGTAATGGTTTTACATGATTTCCAGCTTATGGTTTCTGTGCTGCTGCGGTCTATTTAGGTGCTGTTTTCCTCCCCTCTTCGAGTCAGGCCCTCCTCCACTCTAGACTCCAAAAAATGTACTTTAGGATTTTCATTGTTACTGGCTATGTATTTAACTTTTTCAAGAGACAATGTTGCTACTTGCTTTGTAAGAAGGCATAAACTAAATTTGTTTCAGGCAAAGTCTATTTACTGTAATATATCCAACAATAAGAGTCAACGATGATCATGAAACTCTGAGCATGTATAAGTGCATGAACTATACATAACTTTACAAAATCGCTTTATATTTAAAAAAGTGCATGGTTGAGTGAGGGAAAGGCTCCTCCAAACATGTAATTAATGAGAGTATACCAAGAACAAGATTATGGCAGTTGGTGCAGAGAGTGTTGTTTATAATATATGAAGATAGAAATGGAAACACGTGGGGTCACGACACTCGTGCATAAAAAATCTTGCAAATCCTTGGGATGAGTCTTCCAGCATGGTTCCAGTCTGTACTTGAGCTTAACTAACAATTTGATACACCTACCCTTTGGAAGGTACAACCAATTGCAATTCTATTTAATGTTCTGACCAGAAGGGTAGCTTTTAAAAAGCACAATACTAAACTCAGTTTCATTATTACATGATAAAGTGGGGTGATTTATCTACACTGTGGAGGCTCAAATGCAACAAAAAGAGGCTGAAGGGACTAAAAAACGTTGAAAAAGCATCAAACTTGATCTTAAGGCGTGATGAAAAGGCTCCAAGACATTGGAAAGAAGTTGAAATGAGAGCATTTGAAGAAAGTGTTTTGAAATAGATCAAGGGGCATGAAAAGAAAGAGGACATTTTGAAAGAGAACTTGTGTAGTGTGCAAACGATTGAATGTGGAGAAATTGAAGAGATAAAATGATTCAGAAAAAAGCCAATTATTATTATGCACGATTTAATTATAAAAACATCATTAAACTCTAAATGAAAATTAAACAATATTTATGATAATAGAACTATCTTTGTGATTGAGTTTGTGTGTTTAGTAAGTATAGAAATATTCTATATATTTTGCTTCAAATTGCACCTAAGTTTTTTTTTCACAGAAATGATAAAACATCACATATTATCACATTCAGACTTACTTTCTGCAAGGATTGAATTTAGATATATCATCTTTTCTCTCTTCTGAATATATTTTTGTTAAATGGAATTGAACTTATTTCCAGTTCATTTTGAACACATATAACATCGTTTAACCGCACTTATATTTTCCAATGAACAGAAAAGTGAAAAGTGGGAGAGTAGTGATTCAGATACATTTATGGCAATGTTGGGAACCTGAGCTGGGTCTGGGAGTGCGTGAGACTTACAAGGATTCAACACGTGTCCAGATTCCATAGCAGCGTATCTAACGCAGTCAACTCTTCCTCGGATCATTCGCACGTTAAAATATGTTAGCAATTCACCTTTCCCTATCCAACCAAAGAGTCTCGTACCACTGTTGGGTCTATCAAGAAGGAGGAGATGACTTATACCACTCTTGAGTTTATCAAGAAGGAGATCACTTATACCACTGGGTCTAGCAAGGAGCAGGTCAATAGGGAGATACAAACACAATGAGATATGAGCTCAACCATATAAGGGATCGACACCACTCTTTACCCAAAACATTGAACTCACACTTGATTCCCAACAGTTTTATCCCACTTGGATTAGATTGGATTGAACAATATATAATCATTGAATAAACATGTAGATGATGAAGATCACATAAATCCAAAGCAACAAATGGAATAAAATTCATTCATTGACGATGAAAAGCGCGTCAGTGTTATAATAAAGCATAGTTCTTCCATGAGTATGGATCCTTCCTAATTGCCACCATATCAAACATCAAAGTAAACTAAAACAAAAAAACAAAAAACTTGCACTCCTTCTTTGGGTTTTACTTGTCTAAATGTCAACTTCCAACAGCATAAGGTGTACTTCTCTCTCAACAAAGTCTGACATAATTGATATATAATCATCTGTCAATTGTATTTTCGGTAATGCATGTGAAAAATACTTAATGAATGAAGTAAAACCCAGTAAGCCATTTCTACTGTTCAAATGAATTAATCTTTCCGCACACACAAAGCTATTTCCTCTCTGATTTCTTTTATAGTTTAATATTTTTCTTCAGGATTGTATATGCATTTGTTTATAAATAAATCTCTGTTTGACATGTTCCCCCACTTTTAAGGGGAGGGTGACAGCTACAAGCAAATGAATATACTACTCTTCTCACTCTGCATTGCTCGAATGATCCATTTGTTTTTGAATACTCAAAGTGGTTTCTAGTTGGTAGGGGGCAAATCAATAAGCAAGGTGGAAGAGCTGCAGATGTGAGAAGCTGGTTTACAAGTGCCATGGGTTTGCTTGTAGCAGAGGGAAATGCTCGGGAATCTGCCTCACTTTTTGTTGGCATCTCCTTTTTATGCTTTTGACGATTTGCACTTTCTTGATGCAATCATTGTTGGTGCTTTTGGATAATCAACAAACATTTGATAGAAAGAAAAAACATCAAGTTTCAGTTTTTAAATTGCTCCCAGATTCATATTTTTTATTGAAGAGGGCTTCATACTTCTGGAATATCGAAATGGCTTTTGGTAATTCTAGATCTGCAAGGTTCGTTTTCTTCGTTGTATTTTTGGAGTTTCAATCTATTTAGTACTACTGCTATTACTACTTCTGAGCTTAGGCTATAAACAGATTACTAAACTTCAACTCTACCCTTCAACAATAAAAACGTGCTTTGAGATTGAGCTGTTTGTTAAATGGATTTTCATTTATATTAAAGTTTCATTGCATATTTTAGGTCTGAAGATGATCCGGAGCTAGCTAAATTTCCTGCAAGTATCGGTGACAACGGTTTCAAGATCAAATACCACATTGATGGGACACAAATACCTGAGCCTAGTTCCAAAATGGCTAAGAAAAAGGTGACGGGGAAGTTCTTGAAAGCTAGAATGTTGTCAAGAGTGTTCTCGGAAGACTATGACAGAGTCAAACGAAGAGTATTAGATCCCAGGGGACAAATCATACACCGATGGAACAAGATTTTCTTGGTAGCATGTTTAGTGTCTTTGTTTGTGGACCCTTTGTTCTTTTATCTGCCAGTGGTTCGAGATGAAGTGTGCATTGATATTGGAATAACTCCTGAGGTTATCCTCACTCTGGTAAGATCAGTGGGGGACGTCTTCTACGTGATTCAGATTTTGTTGAAGTTTCGTACGGCTTTTGTTGCTCCCTCTTCAAGGGTTTTTGGGAGAGGAGAACTTGTTGTAGGATATTCTAAGATTGCAGTTAGGTACCTTAAAAAGAGTTTCTGGTTAGACTTTGTTGCTGCCCTGCCCCTTCCTCAGGTACTATGCTGAAAAGTTTCTTTCTCGTTACAAAAAATTGTTGGAATACATATTCTGGACAAAATTTTGTGCTGTGACATGTTAAATATGCCTTTTTGCTACATTGATTCCAGGTGTTAATTTGGATTATTATCCCAACTCTTAAGGGTTCAACCATGGGCAACACAAAAAATGTCCTTCGCTTCATTATCGTTTTCCAATATTTTCCGAGGCTAGTTTTGATTTTCCCACTCTCATCACAAATTGTAAAAGCTACAGGGGTGGTGACAGAAACAGCATGGGCAGGAGCTGCTTACAACCTAATGCTTTATATGTTGGCTAGCCATGTAAGTAGCTGAAATTAAAACTACTTTTCTTGATTGCTCATGCAGTTGAAGCTATTCCTTATGCTATCGTGTTCATTACAGAAAATTAAGTCTCGCGTTAAGAGAAAATAGTTAATACGAATCAAACAAAACCAAACTACAGTGGTTTATATTTCATCACATGTCAACATTATGCAACCTCTTTTTATTATCTTGGTTTTTGAATGGAAAATATTCCAAAAAGATTTTAGGGGCTTGCTGGTATCTTCTATCAATCGAGCGACAAGAAGCGTGTTGGAGAAGTGTATGCGATTTGGAGAAGTCATTTTGTGAATATGGATTCTTTGACTGCCACAGGGTTAAAGATGCCCATAGGGTGTCCTGGTTTATAGCAAGTAATATCACAAATTTATGCTCACCAAATGCAAAAGATGAATTCTATCAGTTTGGTATATACGCTGATGCCGTGACTTCTGAAGTTACATCCTCATCATTCTTCAACAAGTACTTCTTCTGCCTGTGGTGGGGTCTAAGGAATTTGAGGTAATTGTTATGCAGTCGTTCTACCTTATCATCTTTTACACCTTAGTCAAGCTTCTATGACAATTATGTCACCCCCTTCTCTCTTCAAAACAATTTAATTTTAATCCTAATTCAATCAGCACGATTCATTCAAAATATCCCAAAAGTGCAACTCCTCTATTTCATTTCTTTTCATCTTGTTGAGGAAAGGATAATGTGATCCACATTCTCTGATCCTCTTCCCTAGCAAATGGAATAAATTCTGCATGACTTACTAAAGCTCTTTTACCCTCGTGGACCCTAATGCTTTTCTGATTGGAGGATGCAGTTCTCTGGGACAAGGCCTTCTTACCAGCACATATGTTGGAGAGATAATGGTCGCCATTGTTATTGCAACTCTTGGATTGGTTCTCTTTGCGTTACTAATCGGTAACATGCAGGTAATTAAACAGTGCAAGACGCTTGCTTTACCTGTGTTTTCCCCATATGAAAATTTAATACACAACAGAACTTGAATTTTGCAGACATATCTCCAATCAACTACTGTTCGCTTAGAAGAGTGGAGGGTGAAAAGAACTGATACAGAACAATGGATGCATCACAGACAACTACCTCCAGAACTAAGAGAATCTGTGCGTAAATACGACCAATACAAATGGCTGGCCACACGAGGAGTAGATGAAGAATCTCTTCTCAAAGGACTCCCAGTGGATCTTCAGAGAGACATCAAACGCCACCTTTGTCTCGATCTAGTTCGAGGAGTAAGTCCCAGCTTTACAACATAATCTTGCAGTAACACATTTAACTAATAGAAAAGCACCCACTTGTAAAAATTAATTCTTTTTATCATAACTAAAGGTACAGTGAAAAGGTAACATATTTTTTTTATCTTGGTTATGAAAAGGTGCCATTATTTGATCAAATGGATGAGAGAATGTTGGATGCAATCTGTGAAAGGCTGAAGCCTGCACTGTGCACAGAGGGAACTTTCCTTGTGCGAGAGGGTGATCCTGTCAATGAGATGCTCTTCATAATCAGGGGCCATCTTGATTCCTACACCACCAACGGGGGAAGGGCCGGGTTCTTCAACTCGTGCCGCATTGGGCCGGGCGATTTCTGCGGCGAGGAGCTTCTAACTTGGGCCTTGGACCCACGGCCCAGTGTGATCCTCCCTTCGTCCACTCGAACAGTGAAAGCCATATCGGAAGTGGAGGCCTTTGCACTGATAGCGGAAGACCTGAAATTCGTGGCGTCACAGTTCAGAAGACTGCACAGCAAACAACTGAGACACAAATTCAGGTTTTACTCACACCAGTGGAGAACCTGGGCCGCGTGTTTCGTTCAAGCCGCGTGGAGAAGGCATAAGAAGAGGAAGGAACTTGCTGAACTAAGGGCCAGAGCCATTAACAATGCAGAGCCTGAGACACCAACGTATGCCAAAAGGGTCGCTAGGAGTACTAGGAAAGCTGTTCATGTCTCTTCTCCCACAAATTCTGGAGTTGTGTCCTCTTTGCCGAAGCCAGCAGAACCAGATTTCTCAGTGGATGAACGATATTAACTATTCAATGTAATATAAAAAAAATAAAACTTAAAATTGTAATATAAACTTTTTGTTCTAGTAACAATAATATTGGCCGTACTAATTACTACTTAAAAATAGTGTTGGCCTAATTACTCAACTATTTTGACAATAGTGTTTTTTTTAATATCTTCCTCTTTTTTTTTCTTTATTTTATTCAATCACGGAATTGAAATTTAAAATACGCATAATTATGGATAATAATATTTTGATAACATTTTTTTATAACATTTTAACATCATCTACGTGTCATTCTTTGATTGGTTCATGTTGGTGTTTATAATTATTACTATTATTGATTATGGAGTAATTTATGACTAATTTTAAAATGTTGTCAAATTATCATTATCCCATAATTATAGATTAAAGATGAAGTATAGGTTGAGAATCCAAAGGTGAGTCTAAATTTCACGTTAAATAGAATTGAGAAAGTAGAGTATTATTTAAAGATGAAAGACTCATCAACTTAAAGTTTTGGATATAGATGAGTGTCAATCTCTTATTGATTGGGCTCAGATCTGATTTGGTATTTATATCCTTAGAAAGAGCTATTCCTAGTTGTGAGAGGAGAAATTGTTCGGAATCCAAGTGTAGAAAGTGTGTTTGATTGAGATGAAAAAAAATAAAGAGATACAAGCTAAACAAAATAATTAGTTTAATAATGTTTCTAATCTCTAAAATTTAAGATAATTTTGAGTTTCCTTTCAAATTAAAAAAAATAGTTATTTAAAATTAAAAAATATATAGTATTAGTCTTTAAACACTAAATAAAGGAACTAAAAACAGATTAACAGTTACTCTAAACTCTGAAAAAACACCTAAGTTAACTCCTCAAAATTAGTATTTAAAAATTAAATATAATTTTTTTTTAATTTTGATTTTGAAAACCAAAACTATAATTCCCTAAATTTCAGGAAACTAAAAATATTATTAACCTAAACAGTTTTAGTATCAACATATGAGTTTCTTTGACTTTATACAAAATCAAATTACGTAGTTTATTGGGTGACGATTAAACTAAATTCACTGAAAACTAATTTCAAAAAACATCTTGATATTTTAATAAATTTGTAAACTAAATTGACAATTGTCTTCTTTCCGTTTATGATTTATATGATGATGATATTTGTGCTTTTCCCAGGAAAAGGGATGGTTGATATAAAAGTAGCAATAAGTATTAAAAAATTATTGGGCTATTTTGTTGTGTTGTGAGACTTATGTAGCTTTCGTACCAACGAATGGATTCACAGTGTATTCCACCAAGAACACCTGACTCTGCATGAACATACACAGTTTCGTGGTAATTCATGAATATGAATGCATCCACCAAACACTTATCATCATATGCATCCCACGAAGGTAATAGTGCCACTTCAAATTCATTTCAGAATTTTTATATTATAAGATAATTAAGAGAAAACGCGTTGAAAGATGGTATGTCCTATTACACTGCCATATATGCCAAACTCAGAATATCTGTGACCTTTTTTTGGGTAATTAGAATTTATCTCTTACAGTATTTCAAAATATTATATTCTATATTCCTCATTATATATTTTTCCATCTTCATCCAATAAAGCCACTGATGTTGTAAAGACAAATTCTTTGAATGTGAGTTTTATCGTTGACCATAGGCATTGGCTTAAGCTTAACCGACGGGACAGGGAAGAAAATAGAAAGAAAAAAACGAAAAAGAAAAAAACAAGAGTTGTTAAAACCTAAACTCTATTAGTTCATGATACGATAAATCCATCCTTAAAGGTCGCTAATGATTCCAGGTGTCCTTCCATTCGTAACCAGAGAAAGGAAGAATAAGACTATAAACTGTGACTTAGTTTGAATTGTACACTTTAATAGTTTAATCATTTTGTCTGCTTGCATTTTCTGTATGCACTCACCGAGTTCTTATTAAACAGAGTAAAAATCAATGTATATATTCTCCACTTACAAAGCAGATATTACATGAATTATTGAGTTGGATGATGCTTTCTTTTAATGCTGTCTTGTTTTAGATTTGTGCATACTTATGATGTTAGTGTCAGCAAAAACACTTCATCCCTTCACCCAAAGCCTTCCTACTTACAAGAATTATTCCAGCAACATGGAACTAGAAAAATTACTACTGAAAACTTATATTGGCTACACTTACTATTATGCTTCAACAATACCTGATTGGTCTCTACTTCTCTTATATTTTTATAATAATTCCAAAAAATTTAGTTACGTTTGGTTTTTGAAATAATATTGTTAGGCAGATTGGTTGGTCTGAAATCCATATTAATTTTCTGGGTGTTGGAAATTAATTACTTAACTTGTATCTTAGAAAAATTCTTATTAATTTTATTTCTATATTTAAGTATATAATTCACTTGCTTTCTATAATTTTGTTTATTCAATATTTATTAAATAGAGTTAATTTAATACTTTTGTTAAATTAACAAATAGTTTAGATTTTGATATATGACATTTTTCAATTCACTTTAGGTCAATTGAATAAAAAAATATCAAATTAACTTTCTTTTGAATAAAATAAAATATAAAAACCAAATTAGTAATTAAGGAAAACATATTTGGTCATATATAAACTAAATTATTAGTTAAAAAATATTCAAATATTTATTATATTGTTAAAAATATAAGTGTAAGTTTAAATATTATATTAAGTAAATATATAGAAAAAAAACTCATAAATTTATTATATTTGAGTTGAATTTAAGTTTCATTAATAATTAATTATATATTCTGAGTAAAAAAAAAATTAACCCATTTTATAATTCATTGTAGTCTTACAACTTTTTTTGTTTGTTTTGCTTTCACTTGAAGTTAAAAATATTAATTTTGAGAAAACAATTTCTCATTTACCTGTTTGATTATAATTGTACCATATGATTGAATTCTCAAAAGATTTAACACCACCATGTTGATCACCAAGTCGACTACTAGATCGACTATGAGGCTGACCAGGTTGACTATCTAAGCCAACCAACCGAACAATATAGTCAAACAACATGGCTGATCAGGCACAATTATTGACAGTAATGACTTATTAAACCCTTAAGACAAATTAAGGTATGATTGAGTTGTCATTAGGCTGACAGAATGTAAAGGTCCATCACAACTACTATATATAAAAGTCTCAGGTATGACTTTGCACATCATACACACAATATTCATCTTTAGTCATCTCACCTACTAATTTAAGCATCAGAGTGTTGCAGAGACTCTTCCACATGCTCTGGATGAGCGGAACAAAATGTAACCGAACTTTCCGATAGCTCGACAGGTCTCCTCAATAGTCAATTTGGTTTGTTACAGTGATCGATTAGTCTCCTACACGTCTTGTCTAGTATGTTACAGTATCGATAAGTTTCTTGCACATCCTACTTGATATATTACAATACTCAATTAGTCTCCTACACGTCCTGTCCAGTAAACTAAAGTGTTTCTCAGCCATCTCTAACTTCAAATTCAGTCTAAAACCACCACACCCCGAAACAATAATTATATTAGTGGATTACTTAAGGAATGAATACAAGTTGGTACTACGTAGCGATAGAAGTATATACATTCATATTTATTGATTGGGATACGTGTTGTTGTTTGATTGAAACGCGTGTTATTAGTCAAATAAGTAATTAGTTAATATAGATGAAACCAACAAAAAGAAGAGCACAAGGAAAAAAGAAGAATGATAACAAGCAGACAAGTGCCTCAAAGTGGCAAACCATGTTGGCCTCCACGGAAGCTGACTCACCAAAAGTTATCATCAATCTCAACTTTCAACACTCTGTGCGCAACGCTTACAATGTTTTATTGGGTTCTTCTCATACTTTTGTCTTATGTGGGAAGCTTTCATCAACAATTCAACTTCAATGCCACATCAATTATTTATATCCAACTTCTTAGTTATTGGCTTCTACATTTTCACGCATTTTCAGTTTTATTGCTTCCCAAACAAACACTTTGTGTTGTCCAAGCTAGGAAGAAAACCCCTCTTCACAAAAGGAATCAATTATCATAACTAGAAGCTATGGGAACAATGTCTGCAACTCTATCTTCATATCCGGCAACAACTAACACATAGATCTCCCTTAGTATCACTTTTCTATTGCTTTTTTGCGTCACATCACTATTGGATGACAATCTGATAATCTGATAATGTATGGTGATAAAATGTTGATCTTAGGTTTAATTTCAAGAGTAATAGAAAGATATTGCTGAAAGGAATCATCAATTCAACACTTTGAATGTAGAATTCCTTTTCGCGTAAATAAATGATATTCAAACAAATGAACGTATCCTATAAATGTCAAGTCACCACATCAGCACCTGAAGGATATCAAAGTCCAGTGGTACTTCGCATCCCATGGATAATGTGGTGGTCTGTCGAAGAAAATGGACAAAAAAGAAGAATGAAACTAACAGTAGTTTCCACTTTTTTCCAATAGTCTTATTGGTTGTTACTTTTGAAAAAAAAGAAGAGAGAAAATAAAAGAAACTAATGTCCTTATTGGTTTTTATATGCTTTTTTTGTTCTATTGCTTTATTGGTCGTTAATTAGTAATTACTTTCTATGATACCCTTATTGGGTGTTACTTAACAGTGCTCACAATGGATTAATTACGAGTTAATTAGTGCATGCACCATGCATAACTATGATTCGGCTCGTTTGGAGTTTAAAATAAAAATATGATGCTCAAAAAGAGTTGAATTTGCTTTTGAATTTCCATAGAAAATTATTTTTTTAGCACACTATTTCCTTCGTAACCCTCTTAGCTTCTGATCTTTTTAAACCTAACAAAACAATGAATAGAGAATAACCGGAGGAGGGGACCATGGGAGTAAATCTATACTATACCTTAAGTGGATATTAATGCATTGATGCTTAGAGCTTATTAGGTTAGAAGTGATATAGAGATAAATTGAATAAGAAGGAAAACAGACAAAATAAATAAATAAAATGTGGTTTAGATTAATATAAGAGGACATTAGCACCAAAAAAAAAATAAACAAATAGTTAACTGAAGTTGGAGTCAAAACTTG